TTCCCTGGCTTCCCTTTGCTATTATTAAGTATCCTTCTGTTTGACTAAGAATTTCTCCACCTCTCACAAGCCATCTTTTTTCCTTCTGTGTCCAGAAAAAGCTGAAAACCATGTGTTTATAATGAGCCTGTTGCTATGCAAATGATTAAAACACATTACAAAAATCTTTCCTTTGAGTCAGGGGAAGATGAACTGCGAGTAAGAGTCCCTGTGCTGAACAGAAAAGCTGGCAAAAAGAATATGAGAAGCTAAGCGAAATGGGGAAAAAAATAAAAATAAAATAAATAAACCTATGACGGCCCCATCCCTTGAGTCATTTTAACCAAAGGTTTAGGGAAAACGAACGTTTTTACAGCCCCAAGGCAATGTGTCTTACAGTTTGGAGTGGGGTTAACAAACTTTCTTCTTAATCTCCTTGATTCCTATGGCTTCGTGACTCACCCTCCATCTGTCTATGAGGGTGTCCTTTTCACCAGTTTCTTCGCACTTCTGTGAGAATATCAAGAGATTTCTTTTTCCTTGTATGTGTACTCCTATGTGTATTCTCCTTTTAATATCTTTTGTCTTCTCCTTCAATTATCACCTAAAACTAGGGCCTGAGTGGTTCATTTCTCCCCCAACTCAATCATAGTATCTTGGCCGATTTCCCTCACTTATGAAGAGATTTGCTCTTCAAAGGTTATATCCAGGAGATGAGACACAGTATGTCAAAATTAATGTCAAAAAACAGAGCTTCTTAATTTTTTTAATTTAAAAATATATCTGCACTTGATCATTTCAATTAAGTCCATTGCTTTCTTAAACTGTTTGCAGCCAACAACATTTGCAAATTTTTGTTGTGTTGTTTTGTATAGTCCGTTTTTTGTTGTTGTTTTTAATCCTCACCTGAGGATATTTTTCCCATTGATTTTTAGAGAGTGGAAGGGAAGGAGGAAGGGGGGAGGGAGGGGGGGGAAGAGGGAGAGAGAGAGAGAGAGAGAGAGAGAGAGAGAGAGAGAGAGAGAGAGAGAGAGAGAGGTGAGAGATACATCAATTGGTTGTGTGTCTGCACGCATCCCAACCAGGACCAGGGATCGAGCCTGCAACCCAGGTATGTGCCCTCGACCAGGAATCAAACCCATGAGCCTTAGGTGCTCGGGCCGACGTTCCAACCACTGAACCACACAGGTCAGGGCTGTATAGTCCATTAACCTGCAAGCTTTCAAGGGTGGGATTATCTGGGGATAAGAAATGAAATACATGCCTTTTAATTATAACTTCCTTTCACCCCTATGTGTCTTAATATGCATGGGTCAACACACATCAAACTAACAAACAGTTTACTTCTACTAATGAACTCTCTTCAGAGAGGAGAAATGCTGGTCCTGACGAATTCTATAGAACCTGCTTCCCTCTCAAAGAGAGGGAGCCAGACCACTGCAAACATGTGTTGGGTGAAAACAAGTTTGGTCGGCTCCAGACAAAGGCTTATTTTTTAAGCACAGATGGTTGAAGGGTTGCCTCCTCCAACGGGTTTGCCCACAGTGAAAGACAGATTTCTATTTCTAATCTATGCAAATATCTTTCTCTGTGGGCATCACAAAGACGAACTGTTTGGTGGCAGACACGGCCACTCCCAGGTGCTCGCAGATGCCAAAGCCCATCTCCCACCTGAGCCGCCTGGAAACTGGGTAACAGCGGATGGCTGCAGAGTTAGTCACCACCCTCCTCCTCCCGTGAGGATTCCTGGGGAACCCCGCCCCACCGCTGCTCCTCCAGGCTGCTCTGCCTCAGGAGCTTCAACATTCAGATGGGACCCCAGATGCTTCTAAAACCTCCCGAAACTGCTCAGATTTCCGCCCTACCCCCACCCCACAAAGGCTCCTCATGACTCTGAGTAACATTCTTCACCTTGAATTCAGCTCATCTATTGGCCTCTAACACCAAACCCAGAAACCCTGAGCATTTAAAGATGCGATTCTGTCCAAACCATGTCTTCTTTATACTCTAGTCTATGTGCCTTCCTCCCACAGTAGGTCTCACTGAATCACACCTGAGTCACTGTCGGCGGCCCTCAACCTTCCCACGTGTATGTTAGTCCCTTCTGCGTTCCTTTCTCCCTCTATAAATCTTCCCTTTCTGTACTTACAATCTTTCTCTCTTATTTCTCCATCTCCCCAGGTTAAGTCTTTGATTTGTTCTGACACCCCTTGAAGCATTCCAGTTCTAAGGCACCTGGGGGCAACACAAATTCCTGAAATACTCATTCATATTCTCTCTCTCTCTCTCCCTCTCTCTCTCTCTCTCTCTCTCACACACACACACACACACACACACACACACACACACACACCTCCTCATGCTAACCCAGCTTCTAACTTTAAGCATCCTCCACCATAAAAGGTTATATCAGAAATCTACACAGTTCAGTTCTAATGTTTGAGCCTAAAAGTGTCCTCAAAGTGTTGCATTATTTTCTTTGTTAGTTTTTCTGAGCAAATGACAGTAATAGAGTTGGCTCCAGAATCTTGTGTTGGAAAACACTGTCCCTCCTTAGCGAATTTCATCTTAAACAGACCAAGCTAACTGAGCAAAGAGGAATTCTAAAGGAAAAGAAAAAACGTGCCCCCTCGTCCCCAGCCTCAATAACCAGCACCACCAACAACTCTTACTCTTTACCTCAAATTTGAGATCTAAACACTTTTTGCCTAGTTTTCAGCGTAGGAATGCACATATTGACAGCCAAATAATTACCTGGAAAATCTAAAACTATAAAGACCTTTAGAGGTTAATTAATGTATCGATTCCCGAGTATGAACGAACATCAGAACCACCTGAGGAATATTATTTTAAACAATACATCCTCCTGATCCCCAGCCTTAGACACTCCAATGCAGACTTCTGGTACAGCCCTAGAATCCCTATTTACAATAAACACTCCGGGTAATTAGGATATAGCAGGTCCTGGTCTGTTTAAGCAACTGGTCTATTCCAACATCCTACCCCATATGACAGTCTCCTCCAGGGACACCCCATCACTATCTGCTCTGTGCCAGCAATTCCAGACACCAGGGGCCTTGCCCTTCTATATGTCTGCTTGTCCCACGTTTTTATGGACTTAACTGTTAGAAACCATGTTCTTATGTTGAGCCAAGTAACCAAAGTCTTTCAATTCCTTGAACTTTACTATCAGCCCTAATTTTGTGTCCCAGAGCAGACACAGAATTCCTTCCCCAGAAGTCTTCATATATCCCAGAGCAACCACCACACCCTCACAAGTCTTCATTTTTCCAAACAAACTGATTTCTTTACCTTCATAAAGCACAATGCCCGAGTCCCTCGCCATTTCAACTGCTCTTCTGCAACCACAGACCTTGTAGAATAAGTCTGTCTAAAGTAGCAGCACTTCTTTTTTTCTCACGGATGCCTTTTTTCAATAGGCATTAATTTATAGCCCGTGTTTCAGTCTTGTTACTCATTGCCTTGCAGTTAATGGTCCGAGAGCCATGGATCGGCAAGTACTTATTAACCCAATGCTATGTTCCTAACTGTGTAAGTACTCAGCAAGGATTCATAAGCCAGCAGGTACCGTCCACATTTGAGGTGTAAATCATCTTGTACAGAAAGGGTTTAGCCCTAGCCGGTTTGGCTCAGTGGATAGAGTGTCGGCCTGTTGACTGAAGGGTCCCAGGTTCGATTCTGATCAAGGGCACATGCCCAGGTTGTGGGCTCGATCCCCAGTAGGGAGCGTGCATGAGGAGGCTGATCAATGATTCGCTCTTATCATTGATGTTTCTATCTCTCTCTTCCTCTCTGAAATGAATAAAAATATATTTTTAATAAAAACAGAAAGGGCTTAGATAAGTGAAATAACTTGAAAACAATGGATGGCAGTATACAACCGAGTGCTTCAAACGAATGGCACCTGAAAGACTGAACACAGGTTTCCTGGGTCAGACTGTGAGCTATCTCATGCCCTCTGTTTACAGAAAAACCACCTACTTAACAACAGATTTTATTAAAAAAAAGATGGAAGCCATTACCTCAAAATGTATATATAAAAATGTCAAGTACAACCTATTTCAGAAAGTTCAAATCTAAGAAGCCACACATGCACTCATCGAGTTGAATACCGCTTGTTCCTTGGTCTCGGCATGTCACTGGCACTGCTGCCACGCACTCGGAATGCCAGGATCCGGGGAAAAGGCAAAAATCAGAGAGTTCAAGCAATGCCTTTTATTACTGCAAATAACCATTTGACGAGCTAACCCCCCGACAAGGACATTTTAATGGAAAACTCTTACCAATAAGTGAACCATACCACCACCAACAGAAATGCATTTGCATCCTTCATAGAATCACAGACTATTCGAACTTGAGGAACTTATCCAAATCCCTCTCTTGGCAGATGAGGGGAAATATCACTTCAAAGACGGCAGGTGATTCTCTCCAAGGTTAAGCAGCCACTGAGCAGGAGGAAGGGACCAATCCCCGGGTGGGTCTCCCCTCATTCACCCTCAGACAATCCAAACTCTTGCCCCCTCAACATTTTCCTCAACTCTACTCCCATCTCCCGTTACCTTCCCAATCCTCAGATCCAAAGACTGAAGGTACATTTTGTTTGGGGACATTTTGAGGGAAGGAGTGGGCTACCCAGTAAATAGGAGGTTCATTTTTTTTTTATTCGATTCTAGCATATTTTCCCCACAGCCTCCAAGGAATACTGCTGTGCTGCTAGACACAAACTTCTACCTGATTCAGGATCACTGCTGTCTTATGAGCATTGTAGGGAACAGCTGAGTCGGAGTTAGCGACATGAATTCAAACAAATATTCTAAAGCTGAAAAGCAACTGGAAAAGAATCCCCATCCACTGCCCACTAAACACACGCACTCGTACACACACACACACACACACACACACACGCACACACCCTAGATCAACCACCAGCTCATGTCCTTCATCAGAAGCCTCGCCGCTCAGCCACGCCCTGACAGGGAATGCGGGGAAAATGCACCTACCTCGTGGCCTCCTGCTGAAGCCATGACACATTTGGCACGTAGAACATGACTCCGAAGAAAAGCAGAGGCTCATTAGCGAATTTGTCCAGATGTTTCTTCAGCGGTTTCTCCAGCTCCACCCATCGTGCCTGCTGGCTCTTGCTGAGAAACCAGAGGCCAAAGTAGTGCGTCTAGATAAAAGGGCAAAACAACATCAGTTCCTGCTCGCAAGGGCCTTCCCAAGACCACACAGGAAACGAGGCTCCCAGCCTCCCGGCCCCCGCGGTTCCCCGGCCCATACACAAGCATTCAGCTGTCACTTTCTTGACGTTGGGACGACTTAAAAAGAAACCACATGTACACATGTATTGTGATCGACACTGAGTACCCAGAGGCAGTATCCACACCCATGGCTGCTGTTTGTCTATGCGGGTGCGGATGCACCCATGTCAGGGAGAGGGGGTGGTGCAGGGTGGGGACCTCGCCGACTCTTTCCTCAGATCTCAAGGCTGACTTTCCCGTGGCTCCTGGTGCCTCGTGCTCTCACACGGAACAGGCCGGCCAAGGCAAGCACAGTCCTTGCACCTGCTGCAGAGGAACCGATGACTCAACTCCTAGGACAGTGGTTCTCAACCTTCCTAATGCCTCGACCCTTTAATACAGTTCCTCATGTTGTGGTGACCCCCAACCATAAAATTATTTTCGTTGCTACTTCATAACTGTAATGTTGCTACTGTTATGAATCGTAATGTAAATATCTGATATGCAGGATGTATTTTCATTGTGACGAATTGAACATAATTAAAGCATAGTGATTAATCACAAAAACAATATGTAATGATATATGTGTTTTCCGATGGTCTTAAGCGACCCCTGTGAAAGGGTCGTTCGACCCCCAAAGGGGTCGGGACCCACAGGTTGGCGACCCACAGGTTGAGAACCACTGTCCTAGGACAAAGCCTTCTGCCCACGGCCAGCGTCCACAGTGTGGAATATTTCCATCCAGTCCCAGATTTTAACTGAAAATGGAATCTCTCCTTTGGAGCTTTAATGGAGTCCTTTAAACCACACTGCCTCGACCACTTCATTTTACATGAACCCCAGCAAATCTCTCCTCCACGTCAAGCTTTCAGAGTGGTGGGGCCTCCTCTTCGCAGCTGCCATGGGGCCCCCAGTGGCTGTTCTTGGCCGATTATGGTGGGATTTGATAGATGAAAGTGAGATTTTTTTCATCCTTGGACATGAAGCCTCACCCAGTTTAGTTTTGAACGACGGGCTCAATGATGAAAACGGGTGCTTTTAGGCATCCGATCTTGTCTTCATATTAATTGATGCTCAGATTTCAGGATTAGCACAACAATCGCCAAAAAAACAGATCACTCACTGCTTTGGAAGCATTCTTTTCTATTTCAATTACAGCCTCGAATGCTGCACAGCACACCTGGAAACCTACCTTCAAAAGAATGTTTTCAGGACGATGTTTAATTTCCAAAGGCATTCCTGTGCAGATGTTCCCCGCCAGCTGGCCGCCCCTCCTCCATACTGTGGCTCACCCATGCCACAGCGCTACCCAGACCTGTGGGAAAGCTCTGACTCTGACTTTACTAGAAAACCAGACCTGGGCTCGCCTCCACACAGCTAGAGGCCCAAAACCTCTGCAGGGTGTTTTTAAGTGATACTTTCAGGTGGGAGCGGTGATTTGATCCAATTTCCTCCACGCTGTCCCAAAGGGCAAGTTCACACCAGAAGTCTATGCATTTCTCCAGCAACGAAATGCCAATAAACGGAGCCAAGATTCTATTTCTATCGACTCAGACAAACTGGCTTGAGTGAATTCCGACCCTATTGTTCCTCTCCCAGCTTCGGGGAGTCCGTGAGCTGTTCCAATGTGACTGATGACAAAGAGCAGCGGTTCTCAACCTGTGGGTCGCGACCCCTTTGGCGGTTGAACGACCCTTTCACAGGGGTCACCTAAGACCATCCTGCATATCAGATATTTACATTATGATTTATAACAGTAGCAACATTACAGTTATAAAGTAGCAACGAAAATAATTTTATGGCTGGGTCACAACATGAGGAACTGTATTTAAAGGGCCAGAAGGTTGAGAACCACTGACGTAGAGGAAGGGAAATGTGGCTGAGCTGAAGAAAACAGGCTCTGAAGTCACTCATCTCCCAGCTGTTGCCCTCACTGCCTCGGGGGCTGTGGCCAAGCTCCGGTGCCTCCTCACGTCTCAGAGCTTCCTCATCTGTAAAATGGGGATGCTGATGCCGCCTGTCACCCACAGGCTCCTAGGGGTGCAAATGCCGACCAGCCGTGCGTGTGGGGGGCACCTGTTAAGTAACCACTTCATAAACGGTGTCTTCTGTGGCTGCTGATGCTACTGCCACCATCATCGTCACTGGGAAGAAAAGCAGGCAAGCCTCAAGAATCTTGTTCATCAGCACTATTGGCTACCCCATGAACCACTGGGTCAGAAAACAGCAGTTGTCTGAACTACATGAGAGAAGGCAAGCCAAAGTCAAAGCTGGGAAGCCTGTCTGTCCATCACACAAAAATCTAAAAGGTGGAAGAGCCCTGGCCAGTGTTGGTCAGGTGGCTGGGGGTCATCTCGTGCCCCAAGAGACTGCCAGTTCCGTTCCCAGTCAGGGCACAAGCCCGGGTTTCAGGCTTGATCCCCGATCGGGAACATGCAGGAGGCAGCCTACTGATGTCTCACTCTCACATTGATGTTTCTCTCTCTCTCCCTTTCTCTTCATCTCTCTCTAAAAATCAATAAACACAAATGAAATAAAATGTGTAAGAAAAAAAATAGTCACAGAGCAGTGGCTCCCACAGGATTTTCTTGAGAGTCTCATTACGGATGTTGGTGGGACCCTGGCACATCACTCGGATGCTATCCTGGGAGAGCTATGATGGAGGCTCAGGTGAATCTTAACGTGAGGGAACCTGGGTACTTTATAAACTGGGAAAGAGGCCAAGACGGTTCAGCATTATACTGAATTCTGTTAAGGAGCACAGGGCCACAGAAGGGTATTTTGGACGGCCAGCGGCGAGTCTGCATAGCATAAATGAGGTAATATATGTAAACAGTAATGTGCTATGTAGTAAGTATTTTAGTTGGAAAAGAGCCCTTTTATAAGCATGGGTGGAGAAAGGGAGGGCAAACTTTACAGTTACTTAACAGGCCGCCCATGATTTAGTGTCTTTCGCTAAAAGTAGTCTTGACTTTTGGGGGTATAATTTATGGGCCTTACTTCATAACACTCACTCAAATTAGTAACATTCAAATTATAAAGGGCCCTCAGTAACTGCATTCACAGGCTATGATTGATTTTTCAAAAGGAAATTTTTTAAAAATTTGTTTCCTGCTCCTATGCTTTAATAAAGGCCAGTATTTTAAATTTCCTTTTCTCATTCCCATCCACCCAGTCGTTAAACAAGACCTGATCTCCTCCCAAAGAAAAGCCTGAGACAGAATATTCCACAGAGTATATATACACACCCAAGAATATTCTATAGAGTACACATACACACCCACACGCATGCACAGATAAATGCACACACCGGTGCGTACATTGAAAGGGGGGATGATGAGGTACAAGAGAAATCATGGTAAGGTAATAGGGTTGAGCCACCATTGATAGCACAGAACTCTAAATAACAAGGCAAACCACTTCTAATGCAAAAAAACACACCCTAATTCATGGCATAAGATTTGTGTTGTTGTTGCAACACATCCTTTTCCATAGGACACAGCATATTTCAGGGTGATTCGTTATGCATTTACCCAATAAAAAAAAATTACAGAAAACTACTCAAAATATGGGGTTTCCAATGCAGGGTAGAATTGGATGAGACAGGTGACCTGTCGGACCCAGTTGCTACCTACTCACAGCCAGACAACCTAATTGTACAAGTGCTGAGTTCACTTGTCAAGTAAAAAGCGAAGTCCATTCATGAGCTCCCCATCCGCACACTGTTCAGTGAAGTTATGCTCAAAGTAACCTTCTCCATGCCCTCGCCACCGCCCTCATTCCTACGCCAGCTGTATTTGGGCTCTGGGGTATTCAGTAGAGGAGAAAACCCATCTCAAAGTTCCTACCCACCCTAACTGGTTTGGCTCAGTGGATAGAGTGTCGGCCTGCGGACTCAAGGGTCCCAGGTTCGATTCGGTCAAGGGCATGTACCTTGGCTGCGGGCACATCCCCAGTGGGGGGTGTGCAGGAGGCAGCTGATCGATGTTTCTCTCACATCGATGCTTCTAACTCTCTATCCCTCTCCCTTCCTCTCTGTAAAAGATCAATAAAATATATTTTAAAAACAAAAACAACAAAAAAACAAACAAAAAAATGTTCCTACCCAGCTCTCAAGTTTGCAATGCGGCACTGGTGTGTTCTGCCATGTGTACACAGTGCCACGCAGGAAACGGAATCAGAACCTAACCGCTCACTTCAATTAACATGGGCACCAACCAACTTCCTGTGTGTTAGCCAAGGGACCATCCTCCCCTCAGGCCCAGCTGGGCCCACAGCAGGCCTGCTCACAGCTGCCTTGCCAACTTCCACTCCAGCTGCATTCTGGAAGCTGAGCCTCACTGCTAAACATCGCCACATGGTTGAGGAGAACGTAGTAGTGGATGACTCCGAATAGAAACCAGCTCCTCCGTGATCAAAGGGCTCCCACTGTGTTTCCCAAGTAAATGCGGGGAATACTTGATCGGTCGATCTCTGAGGCACCCAACCTAAGCCAGGCCCACCTCCTCCTCACCAGACCTCCTGGTGAGCTGTCAATCCCTTTTTATTCCTCTCGTTTTCTTGGAAAAACAGCTCAAGTGTGAATTCTGCAATGAGTTTATTGCAAATGATGAGAAAAGAAGACAGGAGAACCAGCTCCCAGGAGAAGAACCGTACCTCTCAATCAGTTACTAAAAATGCACCACTAAGAAAAGACACAGGGGAGCCACATTAAGTTGTCATTTTCATGAGTAGTTTCCTGGTTTGCTTGGCTTGGAGCTTTGCATTTGAACAGAGGAAGCAAACGCATATGCAGGCACTCAAAAATATGTTAGTTTCTTCAGTGATAGAGTGGTGTGTGACTACTTTAGTGTCAAAGTAAGGTCTCTCTCTTTTGGTATCATGAAAAGACTGTAGGGAGTCATGGTCTTCCAAAACAGTCTGGAGCATT